CAATTTTAATTATTTAATTATCAGCACAATTACTTAATAGACATTTGAAGAAAAAGAAGAGCGACAGACATGCTTCTTGACAGGTATTTTTTGACAGACATGTTAGCGTTACGGAATTTTTCTGGTTACTTTTTAAATGGTGCTCTTCAAAACTTAAAAAATGTATAACAAGCTCAACAACTTAGTTTCTTACGCGACAAACGCGCAGTTGTGTATTGGATATTATCAAAAAATTGCTGCCAATGAGAAAGCGAGAGTTGCCATAGAAAGTTAAAATTGCCAATTGAACACTATTCAAAGGGGTGTCTGATCACTTTAGGAAGTTTGAGTGTTTTTGAAGAGTTTTTCAATATTTTCCCACTTGCCTTTTATAAACTCCTCTCCTCTTTATGACAAAAAGTATATAATAAAAGCTGCTTTTAATAAGTAGCTGCAAAAATGATATTTCAAATATGGAATCTGATTTCCGTTTTAATTAATTAAATCCTAATTTCCCCAATTGAAATATTTTATAAAAATTCTTAAATTTTCAACTGCAAATTGAAAACTGAACAAAAACTGATATTTCTTTACTCTTCTCAATTCAGAAAGAAAGCATCAACACCCCTTTTATTTATAAATCAGACTATATAATTTTTATTTGTATATTATTATTTAAATCTTGCCAATCCATGCAAGTTGCCCCGTCTCTTACAGATGAGATACTCGCAGCGTTGCTCGTTCTAACGAAAATTCCTTCATAAATGGAATTTTTGAATAGCCATTAATATTTTTATAATTAACAGAAATGGGGATATTTTGACCAAAACGAATAAATAATCCTGAAGCCAAATGCAAACCTTCAAAATTAGCTGGATCTGCTGTTTGGCAAGTCCTATAAAGCGAATAATGAATAATTCGATTAAAATTATTTGTTTTTTTGTGATAGATTTTGTTGAAAGGTTGAAACGCAGGGCCGAAGTCGCTTAATACTTCATATTACACCTAAAAATTTAAAAACTTCTAATAATTTTTATGTTAGTTCATTCCTCCACGAAAAACACGTGCTTCTAATTCTCCATGTTTTGCTTGATGCTTACTGTTTACTTTAGGAACATCTTGCCTCTAAATTTAAATTTTCAACCATGAACTCAGATAACATCTGAGTTAATGGTTGAAAATGGATGTTAATAATTAAATAAACATAAATAAATAAACAATTGTCATTGAGAGAAACGACTTAACATACCACCGGCAGCGTCGCTCAAATTCGCCTGCGCCATTCATTGTATAATTCAATACCAGACGTACGTCACCGTTTGCCCTTTCCGTTGAGGCCATGTTGTCGGACTTAGTATTTTAGCACATATCAACAGGTTTTCAAGCGTTGGTGCATTGTGCTAATCGCATTACCATATACAGGGTGTTACAGATAAAATGTAGGCAAAAGAAAACGATTTGTACTTTGAAATTATCGAAGCAAATTTATTTTCAACATTTTTCCCATGAGAAAAACGATAGAATGATTTTCAATGGCGTGGTTTTCTCAGTTCAGTTTAAAAGAAAACCAATTTTTTTGATCCCATAAATTGACATCAATTTAGATCTATTTGCTTGAAAACTGGCTGAAGTTGAAAAAACAGTTTCTGTTTAAAGGCAGTGACAATTGACATTCTTGACAAGGATAGAAAAGTGACGGTCCTTTCTATTAATGTTGCAATATTTTATACCGCTGTCTGTCTATAACATTAAATTCCCAGCTGCTCAATGGAATATTTGAATACCTGTTTCATCTAAACTATCAAAGTTCCACCTGGTGGCTAACAAAGCAACCACCGCGATTTTCCCTAAACATAACCTCTAATTTTACTTGATTGCGGCGAAATTGGTGATGTGATGAGAGTTAAATGCACTATCACTATGGAAAAGAGCAAAAGCAAAGCACAGGCAAATGAAAAATTGAAACAAGATGCTCGAGAAAAGCCAAAAGTTGAAAAATCACTACCAAGAAGCATGCGCCAGGCAATTTCCAGGCAATACACAAACCGTTTGTTTGGGACATTGGATGGGCTGGGGGCAGATGCCCCAAGTGGGGCCCTTGAGCCGGTGGTCGGTGTCCGATTAGGCTCAGAGTTGTCAAATCTGGTGGAAGCAGTACAGACTGAAGGCCCGATTGCATCGAAAGTTCAGTCTCTGCCGACATAATGAACTCAGAACTGAAACAAATTAAACCGGGTTAATAATAATTATTTATCATTAAAATCGTCATTAACTAATATTTATTTTATGAATCTGTTCAATCAGTATGAATTTATTCAATGAAGAAATGAAATTCGTAAATTTGAAGGCTGAAGAAGGACTCATTCATTTATTTCAAATGTAGTTCAAGTAAAAAATGTAGAAAATTCCAATCAGTTTCGGAAAAAGCAAAAAGTTGTTACTAATGTTTTTTTCCTACGTTTATTACTGATTATTTAGGTAAAAACCATCAGAACTTTTTAAAGGTAATAACTTCAATTTTCTGATGCAACCTTTCGTTTCCCACCTTCATAAACTTGTTTTCGATCTCTCAAAGTGACTGACTCTAACGTGTCACACTGTTGACTTGACTGACATAAAACTGATTTCTTGCTCTCTTTTTTTAATAGAAGAGTACCTATTGACTTTTAAAGGTAACTTTGACAACAATCAACTATGGTTAATTGCGTTTGACATGAGTTAACTCATGACGGACATCTAATCAAAATAAGTGTCAAATTTGTCTAGTTAAAGTGTGTGGTTATAATTTAGCCACCAGTAGGAGTTTGGACTTAAATTCGCGAATTAAAAAATGTAATTTGTGACAAAGAAAAAAGATAAAATATGAATATTTTCATCTTTTTCAGTTTGAAGAAGATTTTAATTCAACAATATTTATGGGATATTTGTCAGCAGAAGCACWCAAATATATTTTTTAATCAAGGTTTTCTCCAAATATGGATAGAAATTGGTTYATTTCTTGATTGGAAACGATCTAACGAGCCGATCCCGAGCCGAGCCTGCGCCGCGGCAAATTCGTTTGAAGTTTCGTCCAAAAACCGATAGAAATWTRATGCGTTAGACAAAAACAAACARAAATAAAATAATAARTTATGAACTAASAAAAAAATGCCGATTTTGAAGAACTGAAATGTTGTCACCACAAAATACCCACATACACCACTTTTTTATTTAAAGCGTAYAAAAACTGACCAAAYGATAATCTTTTYGGACTTAAAAGTAAACCGAAAATGTAAGTTATTGATTAATTGCGGATATCTCTATAATAATTTTTAAATCTTCTTTAAAAAAATTYACCAATAAATTTATGCAGGGTGTTKRAATTGAAAATGTATTTTGTATGTCTGTTCCAACTTTCGCAGTTTTCCAAATATTTTCCCCAAATCTGCAATCCAGACAGAAATTAATGTGAACTTATGTCACGTTTGAAAAATTGAAATGTTGTGGGCATAACATTGCATCAATTTTGTATTTAAACCGTATAAAAAAACCCAAATTAAATGTTTTTTGAACTTAAAAGGTAAACGAAAAATTTTGCTTAATTGATTAATTGCGGAAATCTCTACAATATTTTTTAAATTCTTTTCTAATTTGTTAAGAGATGGTAGAACTCACAAAAATACGTAATCGTTTGGAGAAATGTATGCATATATACACAGGGTGTCAAAATTAAAAAAAAAAGTTGTTCCGCTCCAACTCTGGCAGTTTTCCCAATATTTACCTGAAATTTTGAGGGTAAGCAGACTTTAATGAAAGGTTTATGTCACGTTTGAAAAATTGAAATATTGTGGGCATAAAATTGCATCATTTTTGTATTTAAGCCGTATGAAAAAACCCAAATTAAATGTTTTTTTAACTTAAAAGGTAAACCAAACATTTAGCTTAATTGATTAATTGCGGAAATCTCTACAATATTTTTTTAATTTTTTTGGCAGTTTTCCCAATATTTACCTGAAGTTTTGAGGGTAAGCAGACTTTAATGAAAGTTTTATATTAAGTTTAAAAAATTGAAATGTTGTGGGCATAAAATTGCATCACTTTTGTATTTAAAGCGTGTGAAAAGAGCTAAAATAATTTTTTTGTCGAACCTAAAAAGTAAACCGAAAATTTATGTTAATTTAACTTAATTTTTTAAACTTCTTCGTCATTAATTTCTTAAAGAGACGAGTGAACTGATAAAAACAAGCAAAAAGTTTGTAAACATCTATGCACATATACACAGAGCGTTGAAATTTAAAATATATTTTGGGCTTCCAGACCAATTCTCGCAATTTTCCAAATATTTACCCCAAATTTGGAACGTAGGGGAAAATTTGAAATGTTGTGGGCATAGAATGGCATCACTTTTGCATTTAAATTGTGCAAAAAGCACCGAAATTAAATGCCTTTTGGACTTAAAAAGTAAACCGTTTGGCCGGAGTCCTAGATAATCTAAGGAATTTCATTTTTATAGAATGTCTTGTTTTGTTGCATAGTTTGGTCAAACTGTGTGCATTTTTCAATGGTTCAACGTGTTTTTTGCATTAAAATCTGGTATCTGGCTGCCTTTTCTTATTAATCGTTGTATTTCAAGATTGTCTATTTTGCCTATTTTTACTTGTGTGGTTTGTTTACGGTAAAGTTTTCTAATGATTCGGATATTTCTATCATCTATCCCAGTTTCCGGTATTGTTTCAATAAGTTTTCCGCGTTGAATTCGGTCAAATATTTTATCGTAGTCGATGCATCATGCGGAAAATATTCTGTTCCGCATAAGTTCCATTAGAAAGAATGCTTTGTGCGTTCCAAAAGAGTTTCTGAACTCAACTGAGAACCGTCAAAATCTTCCTCATATTTGCGTCTAATACGAGCATGAATAATGCGGATTATGTAAGACTTGAAGCTGATTCAACGATAATCACCATTTACTCAATACATTAGTCTTCTAATAGTTGTCGACTTATCAGGCCAATTACAAGAAACAGACAAAATCGTATGCTATTTAATGACGATGTGAATGAGAAAAATGGCTTATGAAATCAAGAACTTCATCACGCATCAGAGGGCTCAGTAAAAATAAATAGAAATCTGAAACTTTTATATTCTTACGCGCTGATGTTTCTAAATTTTTAATTAATGTTTAATTATTACTTAAGTTAATTTTATACATACAGTTTTGCTCGTGGTGTGTGTAAAAATGAAGAACTATGAAACCTGGAAACGCCACTGGGCATCAAGCACTTAACTGAAGGGAAAAAAGCAACAAAATGTCCCTCGAAATCGTAAACAAAATGTCAATTAACGCAAACAACTTTGCGAAACGAAGTTCGTGAGACCGTGAAACGACGAGACTGTCGAAAATTGCCCGGTTGTGAACTTTCTTTCTCGTTTTGTTTAAAAGGAGGTCGTACGAAAAGAACTAAATATAAAGAAACTACTGGTGCAACCTTTGGAAGTGAATTAAAACACTTCCAGCGAAATCCAATTGTTGCTTAATATCATGCCCATCTAGCTCTACAGAATCAATGCGAATTTTGCTGTTCTACGACGTGGAAATTTAACATTAATAAACGCAAGACAATAAGTAATTTCACTGTGAAAGATTTTGTTATCTAATACCGCAAATGATTTAAATTAATCTGCACGGTGAATTCGTCACGAAATCATTAACGAACGATTAAAAGCTAATTTACATGATATTGTATTGGAGTTACGTTCCTTTCGCGATTACGAAATAGGACCCTTACATAATATGTAACAAGTTAAGCATGGCCAAAATAGAAACTTTTGCAGCGCGAATAAAAATTTTGCATTTCGAATTTAGCCAATATAAAGTTTCTTATTGAGCATCAAACTCTTGATGATTTTATTATTGCATTTGTTTAGACATTATTGTGCGCAAAACATACTTAAATTTATTCAAAAATTAGATTTTAACTAGCTAGACTAGGGGAAAAGAAAACATTTACCTGGCAGACACTCTGTATACAATGGCAATCCAGATTATTATCAGTGATATAAATAAGTAGCAGCTGGGGTAAGAGGGAGCATATAACATTTCATTAATCTACTTTAGATTGTTTGATTTGTGTAGTATCTAGCTTATCTGTTAACCATTTTGCTAAACACCAATCAAATGAAACTGCTTATCGTTGTTTAGTATTTAAAACAATGACTATTCCTGCGAATATATGCAATAGTGTGGGCCAATAAACGATTGAAGGAAAATATTATTTTTTTTGCGGAAATCAAGCAATGAGAGCAGGTGTTTGATGCTTTGAAACCCTCTAAGCAATTTTTCTATTTGGGGAAAAACCACTGGAACCTCCTGTAACTGTAAAACATCTTAAATAAACAGCCCAAAAAGGATGGTTGCATTAAAAGAAATACAGTAAAATTAAGTGACTTCGATATTTAAACCGTATTTGCAACGATCTCAAATGAGATCCACGGAAAACCTTTCAGTAGAACCCCATAGACTGTGCTGTTATCTACAGTGATTATTGCCAATACGAATTTAATTCCATAACTTTATTATTATTATTATTAATAGGTATATGGGCAAGTTCAAAACAGAAATAAAGGTTTAAATCATGCCAGTTATTCATAACGAGCAGGTTCTTAACAGTATCGTATTGGCTGATTGCTGCCCCTAACAAACCTCACACCTGGCTGGATAAAAATTAAAAAATTCAACCTATTTATGATGTCTTTTGAGCTGATTTAAGTAAATTTGGGTCAACTTTGAACAAATTTGTTAATTCGATTGAAGAACGTTCCTTTTCTCAAACAAAGTTACCATTTTTTCGGCTTTAAAACCCTGACAATTTCTTTAAAAATTGATTGAAACTCGATTTTGCTTCACCAGTAAATATTGGCCTCAAAGTTCCACAAAGAAACTTGTTTCTGAAACTGCTATAAATTTGATTCAAATTGCACTGAATTTTGATTTTTGCGGATTTCATGTATGTTTGGCCAAGACAATCGGTATAAACCAACTGCACTTGCTGCTTGCAAAATTCGTAATTTMTAATGGAGATCGCGAAGCAACATGAAATTTTCGTTGTCTATAGAAGATACTTSAWTCTAAAMCTTGCATAAATTTMATTAAAATTTTACTAAATTGGATTTCATGCGGATTTAATACAKGTTGGCCCCAAAGAAAGGCTTGAAACYAACTGCACTWAWTGCTTCAAAAATTCAAAACTGCTAATAAAGATCRAATAACAACTTGTTATGACAGATTATYMTAATACTTAATCYTTCCTTCCTTAATATTRCACTTAATCCTAATTTTTRCGGATTTAATTTATGTTKGCTYAAAWCYAYCSCTWTAAAACAACGGCGGCACTCTCRGTTTGAATAAGTACTAATTTCTAATAAAGATCAAGTCGTAACTTGACATTTTTGCAGTATATAGAAAACATTTTATTGTGAAACTTCTATAAATTTCATTCGAATTGCCGTTAAGACWGATTTTTGCGGATTTAGTACATGTGAGTCCAAAACAATCGGATTAAACCTTTTGTTTGAAAAATCCAGAACTTCTAATACAGATTAAGTAGCAACTGGATATTTTTGCAGTCTATAAAAGACACTTGATTCTGATACATTTATAAATTTCACAAAAATTGCACCAAATTGTGATTTTTGCCGATTTAATATGTGTCGGGCCAAGCAATCGCTTTTAAACAACTGCACGCTCTGACTGAAAAATTCAAAACTTCTAATAAAGGTCAAGTAGCAACTAGATATTTTCGCAGTCTATAGCAGACACGTGGTTCTGAAACCCCTGAAAATTGTATTCTAATTCCACTGAAGACTGATTTTTTCGGATTTAGTATATGTTGGGACAAAACAATCGGGTTACAACAATTTCAACCTGTGCTTGAAAAATTTATAATTTCTAATAATGATCAAGTCGCAACTTGATATTTTTGCAGTCTATGGAAGACACTTTATTCTGACACATATATAAATTTCACAAAAATTGGTAATTGTGATTTTTGCTGATTTAATAAATGTTGGTCCAAAACACTGGCTTATTAACAACTGCACTCTCTGCTTGAAAAAATTCAAACTTCCACGAAAGCTCAAATCGCAATTTGACATTTTTACAGCTTATAGCAGACGCTTGATTCTAACTTCTATAAATTTTATTCAAATTGCACTGATTTCGTATTTTTGCGCATTTGATATATGTATAGTGGGTTAAAACAGTCGCTTTAAAACAACTGCAGTCGTTGCTTCAAAAGCTTCTAACTTCTAATAAGGATTAAGCCGTAACCGACCATTTACTCAGTTTACCAAAGAAACTTCATTCTAAAACTTCTCCAAACATCTTTCCAATTGCATAAAATACTGATTTTTGTGGACTTAATATATGTTGGGCCAAAATAATCGCTTTGAAACAACTTCACTATCTGCTTGCAAAAATTCACAATTTTTACCAAAAATTAAGTCGCACCTTGAATTTTTTGGCACTGTATAAAAAATTCTACCTGTGACTTCTAAAAATTTCAATGGGATTGCACTGAAGACTGGGTTTTGCGGATTTAGTATGTGGGAGCCCAAAACAACTGCACCGTCTGTTTGAAAAATCCAGAACTTCTAATACAGATCAAGTAGCAACTGGATATTTTTGCAGTCTATAGAAGACACTTGATTCTGACACATTTATAAATTTCACAAACATTGCACTAAATGTGATTTTTGTAATAAATGTTGGGCCAAAACACTCGCTTATTAACAACTGCAGTCTCTGCTTGAAAAATCTCAAACTTCCAATAAAGCTCAAGTTGCAACTTGACATTTTCACAGTCTATACTAAACGCTTGATTCTAAAACTTCTATAAATTTTATTCAAATTGCCGTTAAGACTGATTTTTGCGGATTTAGTATATGTGAGCCCAAAACAATCGGATTAAACCCTTTGTTTGAAAAATCCAGAACTTCTAATACAGATCAAGTAGCAACTGGATATTTTTGCAGTTTATAGAAGGCACTTGATTTTTACACGTTTATAAATTTCACAAAAATTGTGATTTTTGCTGATGATGTTGGGCCAAAACACTTGTTTATTAACAATTGCACTCTGGTAATCGTGATTTTTGCTGATTTAATAAATGTTGGTCCAAAACACTCGCTTATTAGCAACTGCACTCTCTGCTTGAAAAAATTCAAACTTCCACGAAAGCTCAAATCGCAATTTGACATTTTTACAGTCTATAGCAGACGCTTGATTCTAAAACTTCTATAAATTTTATTCAAATTGCACTGAATTCGTATTTTTGCGGATTTAATGTAGGTTTGGTTAAAACAATCGCTTTAAAACAACTGCAGTCGTTGCTTCAAAAACTTCTAATAAGGATTAAGCTGCAACCGGACATTTACTCAGTTGATCAAAGAAACTTCATGCTAAAACTTCTCTAAACATTTTTCTAATTGCACAGAAGACTGATTTTTGCCGATTTAATACACATATGTTGGGCCAAAATAACTGCTTTAAAACAATTTCACCATCTGCTTGCAAAAATTCACAACTTTTACCAAAAATCAAGTCGCAACTTGAATTTTTTTGCAGTCTATAAAAAATACTTGACCGTGAAACTTGTAAAAATTTTATTCGGACTGCAGTCATGCGGATTTAGTATGTGTGAGTCCAAAAACATCGGATTAAGACAACTGCACCCTCTGTTTGAACAATCCAGAACTTCTAATACAGATCAAGTAGCAACTGGATATTTTTGCAGTCTACAGAAGACGCTTGATTTCCACACGTTTATAAATTTCACAAAAATGGCAGTAAATTGTGATTTTTGCTGATTTAATAAATGTTGGAACAACTGCGCTCTCTGCTTGAAAAAGTCTCAACTTCTAACAGAAATCAAGTGGCAACTTGAAATTTTGGCAGTCTATAAAAACACTTGATTGTGAAACTTCTATAAATTTCATTCGATTTGCCGTGAAGATTGATATAGCTGCACCATCTGGTTGCAAAATTCAGAACATCTAACAGAAATGAAGTAGCATCTTCATATTTTTGCAGTCTATTGAAGATACTTGGTTCTGACACTTCCTTGAATTTCACAAAAATTACACATAATTCAGGTTTTTGCGGATTTAATATATTAAGTAATTTAAGTAATTTAAAAATGGAAAATTATTAAAAATATGTAGTTCAACTACTTATGAAAGAAAATGGAATATTTTTTAATTCCAACAATACCAAAATCACGATCTTCAATTTCTTTCTATTGATTGAAATGAACGTTTTTTATTCGACTTTTTTAATCGAAACAGAAAAGCTAAAGGAAAAACAATCGGATTTTAGTCCTTTCGAAGCAAAAACGAATCGCCCTCAAGCAAAATAATTGAAATTTGACGATTATACGAAAAGTTCGAAATAACTGAACTCGGCCTGCACAAATACACTGGGATTGGTAGCAGTGAAAATATAAATTAGATAAACGATCATTAATTGAACTTATTTACAAAGAAATTGAACAGTGGGTTTGCAGTGGGGCTTAAAGAGGATCAATGGTTCTAAATGGTTTTTTCAGATATATAAAAATTTTATTCGGGCTTAATGCTATGAAAGGTCTTCTGATAGGTAATTTACAAATGTTCTAGTTTTTTAGTGCTTATGAGTTAGAAAACATCACATTCCAGACATGTAAGCACCATTTTCAGAGTGCTTTGATCGCTTGATGCGCACTTCAGGTTTGAACCCACGAGTAAAAATGTTACGAAATAGAGCGTCCAATTATTCAATAATAAATTGCGCGCAAAAATAGCCGTGAAAAATACAAAGAGACGACACTGACCCGCATGATGAAAACAAACAAGTCGCACTGTGTGCATGGTACATAATATTATCGCTATGCACACCGCAAGTAATATCGGTATTATGTTTTCTGCATAGGGTACGTAATGGCAACACTAGATTGAGTTTGAGGATTGCGTGGGGCAAGGCGAACTTACCTCACGATTCAAGTGGATGCACGCAAAAAAAAACACCAAAAGAATACCCGAAAAAATTGTGGTAACCGCGGTAGCGGCTGTCGCATGTGT